GCAAGGTCCAGGCTGCGCCAGTGTGGGGCGGAGCCCGAGGCGTGGGGGCGGTGAATGGAACGCTGAGGGGTCCCCGGGCGGGGTTCACCGGCGGGGCGTGGCCTGAAGCGGGACGGAGCTGGTGGAGGACGGCCGGGACGGGGACCCGAATTGGCGCGGAGATGGCGCCCCGTGCATGGCGGGGTCCTGGGCGTCTTGGGACAGGCTCCGGTGCCACAGGTGGGGGGGGAGGGGAATGTCTGGCCGGGGTGTGGCCTGGGCGGTCCCACCCCCTTCCTCTGTGGTGGGCCGGGTCCTGCAGTGCTCAGTAAAGGGGACAGTCTTCCTGGCCTGCGGGGCCTGGTTCCAAAGCCCATGCCACCGGGGTACGCCCCTTCCCCCACTCTGCCCTGTCGTCCTCCCGCCTGCCCAGCTGCCCCTGCACCTCCCTGGGCTGTGCTCTCACGTCTCCCAACGGGGCGCCCGGTCCCCCATCTGTCCTGGCCCCTCTGGAGGTGCCCCTTTTTTTAACCACACTGTGGAATCCGTGTGTCCTGAGGTCCATGCCCTTCAGCCAACCTGGGGCAAGGGTTGGCTTGGGCATCTCTTACTGCACAAAATTGGGGTTCTCTGCCGGATGCTCATACACAAGCCAAATAATTATGGCATCAGCCTTTGGGGGAGAAATCAGCTTTTATTCTGCAAGATCTGTCTGCAGGGAGACAGGGGGCATGTGCCCTCAGATCTGCCTCCCTGATTCAGGATTTGGGGTGAAATTTAAGAGGTCAGGGAGAACAGGCTGGCCTGTGGAAATGCTGGTGGGACAGGTTTTGATTGGTGGGCTTTGAGCATTTATGGTAAGGTTTTAAACATTTATGACTGGGTGAGGAAGGAATTTTAACACTGGATCTTCCTGAATGAGAGAGTCTTCGCTTCCAATGAGAGTCTGACTTTCAAGTTCTGGTCAAGTCTGGTCCTTGGGTTCTATGGGGAGGAGAATCTTTAGTTCTGAGGTCGTTTCAGGTCACAGTTTCTTCTTTTACACATACTCTGGCTATATGACTTTGCATTTTTTCTGAAAGACAATTCTTAATCACTCTGTTGATAAGGGATGGGGTCAGTTGAACTGGTCCTGGAGGTCCTGTGGTTACACATCCACCTTCACAGGTGCCTGGTTGACACATGTGTCCACAGTGGCCTATTCTTCCTCCTCTGTGTCCTAGAGTGACTGTTCTCTTTAAGAGCAGGCTCTGATTAACAAATCCCTCTTGTGTGAGTAACAAATCCCTCTTGTGTGAGGACATATAAATATAAAATCATTTAATCTTAACAGAAGACATTACCTATGAGGAAGCTGACACAAAGATCTGGACTAAGCTTGCCAACATAGTAAACGGCAAAGCCAGAGTTCCAGGAGGCATTCTGTCTCCATGTCTCCTGCTCTAAGCTCCTATACTGTATTGCCAGGATTCTAGACTGGTCCTTAATGCCCTGCCATTGTGTACATTGCCCCTCCGGGTGTGACCGCAAAAAAAGGGCATGATGTGCTCACCAAGAGACAAAAGCCAATCTTCAAGAGGCAAGATGGTGGCAGAGAAAGGGCATTTTATTCCCGCTTGCTAGCAAGAGAGAAGATGACCGACTAATGTCCCAAAGAACCATCTTAAGGGGGCACAAAATCTTACAGCAGTTATATGGGCCAGTGGGTTATAGTGGAGGGAGTTAGGAATGTTGACTCTCTGGTATTACAGACTGGGAGTCACCACACCAGATCTTTCAGTTTTCATTGAAGTCGCTATCAGCATAGACTCTCTGTTTGGGGGTCATCACATTCCTAGGGAACTCAAAAGAACAAAGTTATGATCTTATTGCAGCTGGGAGGTACATGCACAAGCATGGGTCGTAAAATCTACAGAGAGTTAGATCTCCTGGAGGGTGCATATCCAGCTGGCTTAGTTAGTCAGAGGTC